CATCTCGACTATTCTGAAGAATAAAGATGCCATCAGAGGAGCTGATGTGGCAAAAGGAGTATTTTTTACTCCTCTATAATGCTGCTGTATTTGATAGGAATCTAGATTGGATGGGAAAAATCTCTCTGGGAAGGATGATCTCTTGGAAGCCTAAGCCTTGAGCCACATGGAGCTTTAAAGGTAGTGACCAGCAGCTTGAATTTCACTTGGAAACATGCTAGTAACAGTGCAGTTTCTGCAGCAGTAGTGTAACATGGCAGTACCATGACTGGCCAATAAGTATGTAGACTGCTGCATTTTGGGTCAGCTGAAATTTCAGTGGTCTTCAATGGTAGACTCATTTAGAATGAATTACAGCAATCTAATCAAGAGATGGCAAAGGCATGAGTAACCGTCCTCAGTATATTTGTGTTCCAGGTAAGTTTGCAACTGGGGTATCAGCTGAAACTGAGCAAAGACCTTCCTGACCAGAGTTTCCATCTGCTGCTTGATCTGGAGCCATGACTCCAAGAAGAACGCCCAGGAAAATTCCATTGAGAGTCAACAATGGTACAATCCTGGAATCAGCACATTTCTGAATTAACAGCACATTTTGCTTGGGTTGAGTCTGAGCCTGCTTTTTCCCATCCATATCCCAACAACCTCTAGGCACTGGTTCAGGACTTCTACTTCATCTCCCAGTTATGGCAATGTACAGCAGCTGGATATCAGCATATTGATGATACTACATCCCAACTCCCCTGCTGCCACCTACTTAACCTGCCTGCTCAGATAGAATCAGAAACACAGTAATATGGTGCCATCAGTAGGGAAGCTCAGAAAGATACTGTGGTTTACAGCATTAAAAGTTGCTGAGAAGTCTGGGAGGACAAGAATGGTTGCACTCACTCCCCAGGTCATCTATGAGAATGATCAGTGCGGTTCCTGTTCCATGACCAGGCCTGAATCTAGATAATTCATATCCCCCAGGCCTCTTTGTAATTTATACTTTTTCAACAACCTTCCCCCAAAAGTGGAAGTTGGAGATAGGATGGTAGTTGTTTATATGTGCTGGATCCAGGCCCGGCCTCTTGAGGACTGGGCAGAGCAACTTTTCTGTTAGAGCTGCTGGGGCCTCGTCTTCTCCCAAAACAACCTTGACTGCAGCCTGGATCCACCTCTCAGTCCCCTTCCTGGCTGCTTTAACTAACCCAGGTAGAGTAAGATTCCAATCCACAGGTGGAAGAACTGAGGTTACAGAGAACTCTGTTTACTTCCTGAGGATCACAGACTCAGAAACCTCCCAGGTAGCATGCAAAATGTCAGTAGCTTCCATCCATTTGTCTTCCACCCTAGAGTGAGTGTGAACAATTTTATCCCTGAAATGCTTGGTGGGATGATCAGAATTTACATTCATTGGTTCTTCTAACCTGTCCTTCCATAATAAGCTCCAGGACACTCCAACTGTATAGTGGAGAAGCAATTTCACTTTGGCACTCTTATTATGACAGAGTAGGCTCAAATTTGAGCTCATACTGGCTTATGCTTATGGTTGGGATACCATTGCTTTATTCTTAGCCTTGTGTGCCAAATGTCCAGAAAATATTAAAGCTGTAGAAATAGGAACCAGTTCATAAATAATGAAACTGCAAACTATAGTCTTAAAACCATCCCAAAATGAAAGTTGCGGTTGTGAATTCAGTGAGGCTTAATCCAAGGATTGCATAGTGTTGCCTGTTGATCTCTTTTTATAAAAAAAATGCACAGAAGAAATTTTAGTAGTACTAACATTGAGAACTCTCCTCGTTACAATCCTGAAAATACATGATTACCTGTGTCTTAAAATTAAAGCCTACTAAATAATAAAAATTATTATGTGCCTTCTGAATATTTAAAATAATCTAGGAATTCTTGGCCACATTTGTGTCACATTTTGTTTGCACTTGCCCTTCTACCACAGTTTCACTTATATTACTTAATTCAAAATGATGTTACAAAGTCTCCATTTGTGCCATCGTACAACTGTTGCCCTGAGAATTATACCCTTTGCTAGTAGCAGACCCTAGTTATTATTGTCCTCTTTTAAAAATCTTGTTTCCTGTAGCACAATTATGGCATTCACCAGTAAATCATTAAGTGCAAGGAAAGGACAACAAGAAGTAATGGGACTTAGATAAATTTAGGAGGATAAAACTCTCAGTTGCTACTAGTCTTGGAAATTACATGCTACCTCCAGGATCACAGACTGAAGTAGAAGACAACAGCAGAAGCCTGTACTCTGATAACCTTCTTGTGGGCTAACCATTGGCATCTGGTTCACCATAGAAAGGCCTAGGTCTGCTTAGCATAACTTTGTGCTAACAAGGCAGCTCTTTAGGGTCCTCTTTCACTTTATGACCTTAAAATGAGAAGACATGGAAAGTTCCAGGACAGGTTCAAGTATCTTCAGAGACGCCTGGGAAAGTGAGGAGACACACAGGACTGCTATGGAAGGTGCAGTTTGAACAATAGAATTTTGTTAAGTAGTTTTGACAAAATACATTGGTATGTTGCTACTGTTTCCACTCTTGGGTGTATTCTGTGTCTCTGTCAAATTAGGGAGAGGCTGTACAGAAACGTGGAAAGCACAGTATGCTGCTGTATTTTGTTGAAATGTTGTGTCTGCTACATGGTTGCCCTTTTTCCGAGCTGTGAATTAGCACATGGATGCCCAGAAGCTGCTCTGCTAGTAGTCAAGTAAGAACCTGATAACAACCTATTGCAAATCCAGATTTTGGATGTATAAACACCCAGGAGAATGTTTTGAATATTGTAATGTAAATGAATTCAATACATTAAAAAAAAAATCCTGAAGATAAGTACAGTGTGAAACACCAGAGTTTTAACTTTTTCTCTTGTTTGTTGGGAGATAGGCTAATACACTGTATGGAGTTCTGTATGAAAAGTTTCTATGCTGTGCATTATAGACTCAGAATGTAAAGTTGGAAGGGACCTTAGTAATTATCCAGCCTAAGTCCCAGCCCAGTACAGAAAACTAATACTGTAGCCTACCCCCAAATAGCCTCTAACCTCTGTTTAAATACCAAGCTTAGTATGTGCTTGTTCATTTATTTATTAAAGTATGTGAACCTTTACTTTCAGTAACTGGTGTGCTCCTGTTGGGCAGCAATAACTGCAGCTAAAGGTTTCTGACAACTGTTGATTAGTCCTGCATTATCAGCTTGGAATTTTAGCCTTACAGAACAGGTTCAACTCAGGGATGGTCATGGTCTTGCTGCATGACCCGCTTTCTCTTGACCTTCAGTTCATGGACAAATACCTGATATTTTCCTGTAAAATTTGCTGGTACTATTCAGTTCCATCAATGATGGCAAGCCATCCTGGTCTAGAGGCAGCAAAGCAGAATATTTCTGCCTCACAGAAATATGTAGCTTTGGATCATTTTCCTCAATAATAATATTTTTGATTCATTTGTTTAACTGGGTTCTCTTTATGTAATTTTAGGGCTTGTCTGGAGAACAGATCACATTTTAGGTTATATTTATGCAGAAATATTGAAAATTCAAACTTTTAAGCACCACTGTACTTGTACTACTCCAATTTCTAAATTGTCTCATGCAGGTCATGCTCCTAGTTTAGTTATTTAGTTGAAGTTCTGAATAATTTCTGAAGTTCCTAAAATAAGGGTGGGGGAAGGGAGATTTAGTCATATGTATTAAAAGCTATGGAAACTGGGTTAATTGGCATTGAATAAAAAGAGTATTCTATTTTTTAAATATTAAATGTTACATGTTAATACTTTAAGAGTGTAACTTCAGTTGGAATTGTTTCAGTTGCTGTGGGACTTGTTTTAGTGCTAACTGTAAGTATTGTTTTTTCTTTTTTCTTTTTTTGGTAGTATTTGTAGTAGGACCAGTTAGTAGAATAAATTTACAACTTTTTATAGCCAATAATTGAAAAAGACTCAGCTTTCTACTGAAAGATGTATTAAGGCTTATGTTCACTGTCATAAAAATCTTCATAAAAAAACAATACACCAGTTCATTTTATTTACCTTTGGCAACTTCCTTTTTTCTTAGGTGTATATTTGCCTTTGTTATGGGAACAGAGTTTTTGTTGGAAGAGCCCTATTGCTCTGGGCTACACAAGGGGCCACTTCTCTGCTTTGGTTGCCATGGAGAATGATGGCTATGGCAATCGAGGTGCTGGTGCTAACTTAAACACTGATGATGATGTTACTATTACTTTTTTACCATTGGTTGACAGTGAAAGGAAGCTGCTGCACATTCACTTCCTGTCTGCTCAAGAGGTAAGAAACACTACACAATTCTACACCATCTCAGAGACATTCCTCATGTATTACATCAGCAGAAAAAAGCCCCAAGAATATGCAGTTATAGTAAGTTCCAAATTGTACTTTATACTCAAGAATTTATGAATGAGAGAGGTTTTTAAAAAACAGCTATAGTAATTAAACTTTTCAGAAAACTTTTCAGAAAAATCTGCAACCAAAAATAGTTAATAAAGCAGTGCCCTGTTAATAATCATATTTTCTTTCCATAACTAGAAATGTGGAATGAGAATGCCTGCAAAAGATAAGCCAACTTTCTAATAACATTTAATTATACCACTGTATTAGGAATGAAACATTAGAAGAACAGTTGAAATTGTGGGTTTTTATTAACTTATTTGATGTAGGCTTACAGGTAAAATGGGCTTTCATAACTGGGCCTATAAAACACAGAGCTGTCAAATTACTTCAACTTTTTCTTACAGACATTTTTTAAAATTGTGGTCTTAATAGGTTAGGGATAGATCGTCAATCTACCTGTGTGGTTGCTAGGAGTTGAAAATGACTTGATGGCACAATCAATTATGCAGTTAGGAATTTGATACTAGATGTTTGAATTAATCACACCAAATGTTACACAACACTTGTCTCTTTTAGCTGGCAGTAATCTAAGTTGACCATGTCATCTGTATTTTTTCTCTGAAGATTGGTAATGAGGAACAGCAAGAGAAGCTGCTTAGGGAGTGGCTGGACTGTTGTGTGACAGAGGGTGGAGTCCTGGTTGCTATGCAGAAAAGCTCTCGCCGGCGCAACCATCCCCTGGTAACGCAGATGGTAGAGAAATGGCTCGACCGCTATAGACAAATCCGCCCCTGTACATCCCTTTCAGATGGAGAGGAAGATGAAGATGATGATGATGAATGAAAAAAAAATTTGAGATACCTAGATGCATATAATGTATGGTGACAACCCCAGCTCTTGGAGCAGTCTAGCAATTTGTTGCATGGTGACCCAACTGTAGCAGGAAACATCCTGCATAGGATTTTTAATCAGCATGGGAAGAATTCAGAGGCTCATCTGATGCAAGAAGGAAGTATGTTGGTTGGACTCATTTGTATAAAAGAAAAAAGAAAAGACAGCAAAGCCCTAATTTTATTACCAAGACAGAAAGCATTTTTCCAGTTGTACATCTGCCCTTAAATGTACCACGTGTGGTCGTGTAAGAAAGTTGTGTAATAGGAAAAAAGTGTAACCAGCATCTTAAAATTATTGAAGGAAATTCTTTTGAATAAGGGCACTTAAAAGCACATTGTTGATTAATATCCCTTCCTTTTGAGACTTACAGTAAAACTTGATTATTTTGCATCACTTTTTAAGCATTCTGACATATTTCCTTGAAATAACATTTTATATGAAATCTTGCTAATGCCCAGGTCAGATCAGCAGATCATGTGGCTTTTTTTTTTCTTTTTGTTGATGCCATATATCCAGAGTAACTCATACATGTTAAAAATGTATTGTTCTGTTAAGATTTAATATTGTGCCCATTACAGTATAATAAAATGAAATTTTAAAGGGAAAACATATGGAAGGGATGATAAATTTTGACTAAGTGAACTGTTTTCTGTAAAGACTTCTCTACTATCCATTACTACTTTGTATCACAACTTTGGAATAGTTTCTCTCCCCTTTCAGCCTACTTAAAATAGTAAAAAAAAAAAAAATGCTGTTCCAGAGAACTATATGCTAAACAATTGCGTGGAGTTTGTTAAACTGAACTGCATTTTGTCCAAACCCGGTCTTGCTGTGAGTTGTACCATAGAAATTAATATTTTATCAAGCCTTGCCCCATGCAAGTTAAAACTGCCTCCACTGAGGAGCATTCCTTGGTCATTAAAATTGAGTGAGAAAGCACTTTGACTGTTTTCCTTAAAAGCCTTCATTCTAAAGTTTGTTGGGAAGTCCTGTATACTATTTTTTCTTAAAATGTAATCTTCTGAATTCTGTGCATGCTGATTGATTGTGGCCACATCTGAACTTGTAAGCTTCCTGAAACTGTCAGTCCAGAGTATATTCTCCAGTAGAAAAATCTTTTTATTATACTTGATAAACTTAGCTATGCTATATTGAATGGATCTAGCCCTATCCAGGATCTCACTGTAAGACACTAAATGTTGAATAGTTTTGTATGCAAAAAGTAGATCCTGATAAGCACTTTTAAAAGACCAATGATGGTGGAAATGATGACATGGAACCTCTTGTAAGATGGAGTCCCTGGTTTAAGAATCTGAACAGAAACTGTACCTATTTTTAAATGGATGTAAAAACATAGGCATCATTCCGAATTAATTGCTTTTTAAAACTACATTTCAAGCAATTGAAAGTTAAACAAAAATTTCTCAAAATAATTCTGCTGACAAATAAACAGTGAAATTTTATCAAGGTACTGTGTTGAAACATATCAATACATTTTTCACTCTTATAGAAGCTTATTAATGTTTTATACAAACAAAATCACATTGATCTGTGATAAAATTACAGGGCAGTAGAATCATTGGATTTCTTTTCCTAAAACAGGTTCTGCTTTGATATATTCCTATTTTTAAGTTTTTCCAAAGACTGTTAAAAGGGGTATAGTTTAGTACCATAGTCCTCTGCCTACCCTTCATTATTTACCATGAAATTCCTGCATTCCTGAACAAGTAGAATAAGTTAGGTGATTATGCTTGGGTAGGATGAAGAAAATTGAAATGATGCAAGTTGTGCTCCAAATCCGAGTTACTTCGTAGTTCTAATCGCAATTTCCAGCAATGAGATACAGCTGTCTTGAATATAAACCTTACTTTACTTTTGTTTGCCGTTATAGGAGGAGAAAATGTTTAGCTGTTATTTAACCAAGGCTTTGGGCATTTTCTTGAATAAAAGCATTTGGCTGCTATCAGGAATAAAAAAAATCAGCAATATACATTTTATTTTCATGTTACACAGCTATACAAGCAGCAATATACACATTAATTATTATATAGTCACAGTACATCTTTATGAGGCTCAGTGGAATTCAGTGGTTTTATAGATTGTAATTCCAGTTGCTGTTGCAGCACAGCAGCACAGGCATTAGTTCAATTATAGCTGTGCCTTGAAACACTAATGGCAATAGTGCATAGGCCTCTCATCTGATGTAACATTTTTTAAAAGGATCACATTTTTTAAAAACCTGGGGTGTTTGGACACTGTATCCCTGCTTTAAAACTAGAGGTCAGGCTTCAGTTTGAATTTCCTTTCATACAGTAAGTTGCGAAGTTTCAGTAGAGTGCTCCAAATGAAACTCTCTATATTGATCCATCTTTTGAATTCTGATAATTTTTTTAGCTTTAAATACCTGAAATGTTTATCCTGTTCAGATATTTTGTTCCATGTATCTTACTTCAAAGCCTGCTGTTCTCTTCTTTTGAAAAAACAAAACAAAACCCACTACTTCCAGGGTTGGCTTCAAAATGATTTCCCTTCTCGCCATCTCCACCATTTTGTATGGTAATTATTTTTTTCAAAGCCTTGTTCTACTACAGTGGATTATGCTTTCTGAATTACGCCAGTATTTTATAAATTCTTTTAATGGCATGCATCTTCTATATTGTTTAACTATGATTTATCATAGATAACTTTTAGAATGGCAACCGGTATACAGATTTAAACATAAAGTTTCCTCTACATATCTATTTGATTTTAAGTGGGGAGTTTTTCCTTCAAATTAGTATCTGGAAGTAATACAGAATTAACTGCCTCCACGCAGGTACATTCACTGATGGTAGAACATCCTACAACAAACATGGTTGGCTTATTCAAGTATTATTTTTCATGAATGCTAATTATGCCTATTTGGAATGCTACTTCCTGGTTTAAGGACAAAGTTCCAATAATAGCAGCTTCTAAAAATTCACTAATGCCAGTGTAAATGTTTTGTTACTTCACCTTCATTTGTGTGACTTCCTAAATGTTCTCTGTAATTCATCAATGTTCCTTCTCCTGGTTGCTCTATACTGGTGTCTATGGTAAGTTACACATATTTGCAGTGTTAGGTCATTGACACATTTAAGAAGTTGACTCCCTTGAATATGTTCAAGCTGGTAATGTGCTTTTACATCAACTCAAAACAAAATACAAGTTTTGTACCAATGATTTGTTTTCAATTTCTGCTTTCATAGTTTATTTTGTGTGTGTGTCCCCTTCCCCTTAAGTCTACTCAAATCACATTAAAGGTTCACTGACAAGCTAATTATAGTATCAGAAATCTTAATGGCCACAAATACTTGTATATTTTCATGACTGAAGTTCTGTGACACTGGATTGTAAGTTTAGTTTTGTGATTGTTGAACTTACACTGACTCTGCCTGGACCAAGTTCTGTTTTCTTTTGCATGTTGCCACAGACCAAAGCTTTTGCTGTGGAAAGAAGAGGGCAGTGTATCTCCACTTGAGCTTATGGAAGGTTCTTCATTTTTCCTTTCATTTAAAGCTGCTTTCCCACATAGCACAGTATATGCTTTTGGAAGAATAGTGACTATAGCAATTTTAAAGGTTTTAACACATGTGAACTATTTTAATCATAGTAATCTTCACTACAGTTCAAGTTCAGAATGACTAGAAAAGGCCCTCCAATGAATTTATGTGGCTCATATGAAATACAAGTTTGCCTCTCATACTGACAGCAACATAATGGACAGTGGTCATAAAATAGCTGTTAATTATCCATATTACTAAGGTTATTATGGGACACTTGGCATGAAAAATTGATACTCACCAGTATAAAATGTCATTTACCTTACTGTTAATTCCATACAGCTAAACGGCGCTTTTAAGCTTTTAAGACTGCATCTAGGGCAAGAATAGTCCTTTTGCTTATAATGCCTTGCTCTTGGAGTATCTTGCATTCAGACACACGATATTTCTCCCGCTACGCATTACATTCTGCTGTGATGAGGAAAAGACTGCATGTATAGGGAGGAGCACTTTCTCCAAGCTATCCTGGGAGAGTTCTGAGTGCCAAATGATGTTTAATCAGGCTCACCCTTGTCAACTCTCAGCCAAATGCTAAGGATTCTCAGAGATTTTAGGCATACTGATTTCTGGGGTGAGGCATGTTTCAGAAATTCAAAGCCACCATCCAGTTTTATCCTAGATATTCAATAGCCTATGAAGGATGAAAGTTTAATCTACTTCTATTCCAGGATTCTGTAACATGTTCTCATTTAGAATTGGTTCAAGAACATTGAGGGCCTGGTCCAACTCAAATTATAGAAATTGTCACTTTTTATTGAAAACTGCACTGAACGCTATATGTCCACCTTTACAATAAACAAATACAATAACGGTAATACACTAAAACAAAACATACTTCTGGTAGCCATTGGTTCTGGTTTTGTTTTGTTTGGGACAGCTTTTAAAACTTTTATCACAGAAACAGGAATGTACCCATACAAAGGCTCAGAATAGGCCATCTTTTTCAACAAAAAGGTGATGATTCACAAAAGACTATGAATATAACATGTAGCTAGTTGATACAAATCTAATAGGATTTGTTAAAATCAGTCACATCTAATAACACATTTTGAAGTGTTCTTGTATAAAATATCACATGAAGAAAAGAAGACTTTAATGTCTAAAAAAGTGGGTTTTGTTCATACAGTCTGACAAGTTACCATAAAAAGTGTTTTTTCCTGAGACATAAGGAAATGCAACATTCTTGAATCCTTTCCAGCTCAAGACTTTTCCACTCAATAAAATAGCTGTGGATTGAAAACAGAAAAATATATCTGAATATAAATGTGAGACTTAACACTTTTTTGCATCATCAACTTGTGTTATTGAACATACAGCTACTTTATTATGTGTATCTTGTAGGAGAAGCGTCAATTTCTGCAATTAAAAGGCAGTAAGTTAACACAGGCCTTTTCCCCTCCCCAAACTATATAACTGTAATTAAACTTGAGTAGCACCCCTCCAGTAAATCAGTGGCCATATATAACCGTAACAAGCAAAACTGTCTCCCCATTTGTGGGTCATCTTTCCTCAAGCTATAGAAAGAGGAGCCAGGTGACTGAGTAAGGAAAGGGCTGAAGTCACAGGATGGTTTCCTCTCCATTATCATGTAAGCTTTGTTAGGGCTGTTAGACATGCTCTATGTAGTAGATACTTCAATCAGCTGTTTTTCCCCAAAGGGACAAAGAAGATACATATATTATTCTTGTGATTGATGTAAAGATGAAGGAACTTAAATACACAATAACAGAAGCTGATCAGTAATGTTATCAAATCCTAGTTTTCAGTGCTTCAGTAAGCAGATGACTTCTTCAGTTTCCCCCTCCCTCCCTTAAGTCTTGACTCCTATCTTTTAATTTTTTTGTTGTTGTTAACACTGGAACATCATGATGCGTCTGTCCAAAATTAACCTTACAAATTTTGTATCAAATTCCTTTCAGTTTGTCATTTTCTTTTCCAACGTCTCTTGGTCCCAAATTGGAGTGCTTTCAATTGTCTGCTATTGCTCATTTGGGTGTTCCCTGTTGTCCCCGTGTTTTGAGGGCTGGTTTGGAGATGGAGCTTGGGAAGGATGTGCCACAGTTGGAAGATTATGGGTAACTGGAATCCCTCCTGGGATGATACCTTCCATAGCTGCTGGAATTCCACCTGGAGTAACACTCATCATTCCCGGTGGATATCTAGAAAGAAATGGATTTCAGTTACAAGAAAATGAATATAGAAATGTTCTATAGAAAAAGGTATGGAGTAAAGGCCATGGGAGTGGTGGCGGGGGAGAAACCCCAGGAAAGCTATTACTTGCCAAATAAGTACAGTAATAGTATCGATTTCAGTCTTTTCAAGACTGTTTAGAAAGTGTTAATTTATATTTGATCAAAAATATTGACAGACTTGCCCTTACAAAAATGGTTTTATCATATTTCTTTATTCACATTATTTTAGAAGCCTGTTCAAACAGCCAGAATATATATTCTAGCATTTGGAGAAGCAATCTTATTTGAATCCATGTCATTTTTTATATTTCTTCTCAAAAGATAACAGGACAGAAACAGTGGCCAAACTTTTTCTACTGGAAGAAGGAACAAAAGAACAGCAAGTGAAAGATTTTGTGCATTGCGTTTTCTCTTTCAGAAAACACTTCAAAGAACATAAATGAAGAACCTATATCACAACTTCTGGCTAAATGTATAACAATGCTTATTTAATTCTATTTCAGAAATTAAATGAAAAATAATAGTAGACACCTGTTCTAAAAATACATATTTTAAATTTATTGAATTTTTAAACTAATACAAAGGGTAATAAAGATACAAATAATAATTGGAAACAAAACTACTACCAGTGGATATGTTCCTTCACATTTATTTTCAGAATAACCAAAATAAGAAAGCCAGTTTGGTGTAATGGTTAAAGGCACGGGAATAGGAACAGGGAAACTGGAGCTCTAGTCTTCCTTAGCCAAAAAAGCCAGCTGGTTAATTTCTCCCCTTTCAGCCCATGATTTCCAACCCCCACCTCCTTTTCCTACCATTTTCAGTATGATTTCAAAACATCAATTTCTCATGAGATCGAAAATTAAAATTTAATGTCTTGCCCATTAAGGCCCAAATATTTTGGGCTGCCTTAGGTGCTGGAAATATTATTTAGAGCTCAGAGTTTTTCTGAAATACCATGATAGAAATTAGAGAAATAAACTCCTACTACTAATTAGAATCAAGAACTTGCCTGAAATTCAAAGACATCAATAAAATAATTCTCAAATTGAACCCACAACAGAACACTTTCAATATTTTCCTTGTAGTCAACAATCGCAGTTAAGAATTATGCCTAATGATACACCTTAATATCAGGAAAATTAAAACTACCATTTTTATATGCAAGCTATAGCTTTGAATGAGGAATTCTGATTGGTTATTTCTTTCATTAAAAAAAAAAAAGTTCATTAGCTTACTAAGTTTTACCAATGGAAGAGAATATATGTAGCTCAGGGTTGCACTGTGGAGTCCTTGGGGTTCTCTGAGCTTGGTTGTTTGCTTGCAGACATTTCATTATCCAGCTAGGTAACAGCTTCAGTGCTAGAAGGGAGTGGGGTTTGCTCTCTGTTTATATACAGTAGCTTGCCCTGTCAATTTTTGGTGGGGGTGTTGTTTACAACTGTTTGCTATAAACAGAGGACAAACCCCACTCCCTTCTAGCACTGAAGATGTTACCTCGCCAAGTAATGAAATGTCTGCAAGAAAACAACCAAGCTCAGAGAACCCCAAGGACTCCACAATTGCTAAGTTTTATAACATTTTAAAAAGACACAAATGTAGGGATTGCTCTAAAGAAATTATCAATCTAGAAGCTGTATTCATTTCAACATTATTTTCAATAAACTCAAAGGTATTTTCATCCCTCTCTTGTTATCAGCCACCTTCAGCTAATATAATCTGAGATATTCATTTCTACTAAACCCTTTTTCTTCCTAGGAATAATTACCCCCATGTATTTAATAGAATCAGCACAAAATACAAATCTTAATTTTTCCCCTTTATTAGTAGGAATAGTATTATCAACTGGCATAATAATGGACATTCCCTATTACTGAATGCCATGAATATGTCATATTGATGTACAGTTTTTAAAATTTAAAAAGACCCCAAATACGATCTGCATATAGTAACAACTGATACTCAAATTCTGCTCCTTTGAGTTCCTTAATAGTGCCACACTGTCTTACTGAATAGGCCAGAGATTCCAAGAGCAATATCAGCAGAGAGAAAGCACATCCTTGGTGTATGCCCTGTCATGTTTTAATTACAAGGAGATAAGCCCATTTGCAATCACACAAGCAGGAGATTAAAAATACATTTTTATCCAAGAGATAAATTCAAGAGGAAATCCAATTTCCTTCTTAACTTCTACCAGAAATGTGATTTGCTCCACATGAAAAGCTTTTTTTGGCATTTAATGATGACATAATGTCTGTTTCATTTTTGCCCACATTAATGATAATAAATCTACCATTATCTGAGGCTTGGTCCCATTTCATAAAACTCACTTGTGCAAGCGGAATTACTGAGGTAAAACTATCTGTAATCTTCATGCCAGAGTAGTGATTAATATATTTGCATAAATTTTTAACAAAGAAATTGTTTGCACAATTCAAAGGTCTTTACAAACTTTGTAAATAACAATGATGTAACATCATAAAATTCAGTTGGTAAAGCTCAGTTTTGAATAGATTCATGGTATATCTACACCCAAACAGAAAACAAACTCTTAATTTTTTTATAACACTCAACTAGTATTCTTATCTGTCGATAAGATTTCAGTATAATCACTGTGAACTCTCATTGTATTAATGGTATCAAACATTTCATGTAAAGTTAAGGGGCAGCTAAGTTTGATTGTGCAACCAAAATTTCTGAAAGATTTCTCTCAGTTAAAGAGATATCTCTTGCATAAAGAGATGTTCTGCATTTTCAGAATGCAAACTTTTCCAGAATTCCAAAAATTGGCAATGACTTTCAGTATAATCACTATGAATTACTCGTGAAGAATAATTCAACCATGAAACCAATAACTTGCCAGATTTTTCTTCCTGTTCCCAGTTTAAGACACTTTAATGAATATTTACTTCCCAAGTATATAACCCATCAAGTTCCAGTGTACATGACCTAAATAAATCAGTATACGATTTCTAGCATATGTATTCAGAGCTTCTACAATGTATGTATTAATTTTTTTCCCTCCAAGAGACAAGCTATTGTCTTACAAGTATAAATGCATCCCAAACTAACTTAACATTGGTCAATTCTCTGCTTATTTGAAAAATCCTGTATTTTTTTGTTGATAAACAAATGGAGAACTGTCTAGCAAAAAAAGGGTCGTAATACCATCTTTCACTTGGCCTTCTTTTCCCTCAAATCTAGTGGTACTGTTACTAGTACATGGCCTGAAAGTGTAACTTCTGTAAATATAATCTCATAGTCTCCTTGTTGAAAAACATCTTTCAACTATAAATCATTTTCAGCAGATTTATATAAACAGTGACCCAAACACTGCCAGAAGAATAGGGAACTTAATTAAGGAATCCACAATATAAATAAGCAAGAAATTATTGATTCTGACTGGTACAGTTAGTCCTCAGGTTACGATGGCAATTGGGATTGGCATTTCCATCGCTAAGCAATGTGGTTGTAAATTGCAATGTCACATGACTGTATTGCTTGGCAGCAGCAATTCTGGCAGTCCTGGCTGCTGTCGTACCCCCAGGACTGTGTGGTTGTTAATCAAGGACCTCACATGACCATGATGTGGGAAAGGCGGGATCCCCAGGCAAGCATCCAGCTGAGAGCTATGGGCGGGCATGCACTACAGAGTGTGGGCAGGTACGCGGGTAAGCACTATGGTGCACATACAGAGGCTATGGAGTGTGGGCAGGTGCTGTAGGCAGGCGAAAAAGTGACAGGAGCAGGAGCGACTTGCTACCACCTGCCTGTTTCCCCACTGACTTTGCTTGTGGGAAGCTGGCAGGGAAGGTTGCAAATGGTGATCACATGACTGCGTGATGCTGCAACTGTCATAATTGCAATCCAGTTGCCAAGCACCTGAATCATGATCATGTGACCATGGGGATGCTGCAATGGCTGCAACTTCATGGACCGGTGGTCGTAATCCGAGGACTATCTGTATTACATAATTTTTGTTTGGAAAATGTAGATTACCAAGTGGGTTGGATAAATCTTTATGGACCATCCAAAGACAAAGCAAAACATCACTGTTTTGCTAACCTTTTTATATTGAAGGTGGACTAGAGTATTGTTTCTGGAGTCTGTAATTTAAATTCGGATCCACTCTTGGATTGCAATAAACCTCCTAGAAAAGAACAAATCCCCATTTTCAAACATTCTTCAAGATTACACTGAGAACTCAGTTTAGTGTGTGTGTGTGTGTGTGTGTGTGTGTGTGTGTGTTAAGCCAATTAAATTTAGTAAGCAAGAATATTTACTCCACATGGCAATTATTAATATCCCAATTCATGGTTAATTCAATAGAAAAATGTACAGTACTAAATAGTCTAAAAATCTGTGTGGTTTTTTTCTTTAATATGACTAAAGTATACAGTAGGTTCCTGAATCCACAGGGATGATTGAAAAATAAAATACACAGCTAGTTTTGAAAGACTAAGGAGCCTTTACAATTGATTTTCTCTAATGAATGGCCCAGCTGTCAGTCTTCTTGAGATGGAAGGGAATTTAATAGAATCACAGAGTTGTATAAAAAGCCATTTTGGTCATCAAACTCAACCCCCATTCTGTGCATGAATCTGAATTAAATCATCCAGGAAAGATAGCTGTCCAACCTTTCCTTAAACAAATACACTGAAGGGACCTCTTCAATTCTGTCAGACTGTTCTTATGTTTAGGAATTTTTCTCCCTAACATTTGGCAACCTGAGGAGTTCATATTCTTCCAGACTCTTCTCTAGATGGAATCTGCCCACTGAATTTGTGCCTACTAAGAATATCCACCCTTTAAAAGATCAGAGGGCTGGTGGCCTGGAGAATGGCCACCTCAGTAGCATCCCCTTTACTATGAAACAGTTTACTCCCTGCCCCTCCCATGGTCAGGAAGATCTGATCCTGTTAAGATTGCCCTCATCCCTCATCACCGCTGCCCACACAGACAAGAAAGTAGAGAGAAGGGCCTGAGGTACTATGAATGTATTACTACTAATTGTAGTATTTCACATTTTAAATCACTTTTTGTCATAGGCCTCAAAACAACACATATAGTTTAGCCCTTCATTTTGTCTGCCCAGTAACAATTTTATTGCTAGATTGGGCTGAGTGATGGTGATTGGCTTGAAGTCATCCAGTAAGCTTCATGGTTATGTACAGAATTGAACCAGGGTCTCCCCAATCTTGATTGCTATACCACTAATAAACCTCTCCTTGGTTTATTTTTATTTATTTTAAAAATCTAACTTTTACTGACTAAGGGAAGCAATACTTTCTCTCAGAATTTGTGCTATTTTGTGAAGTCACAGGCACTAGTTAAATGAACTTTCCCCTCAACAAAATCACTAATGAAATATATCTGAACTCTCCTATAGCTGAAACTGCATTACATAATAAAACTATTGTCCAGAAAGGCCCCAGTTGGTATTTGCAGTGCCTAGAGAACATGACATTGCAACTGGAACCTTTCCTCATTTCTTGTAACTTTTCTAGATACATATGAGGTATTGTCCCTTGACACTGACAATTTCTGTAGTTTTAATTCACACTTGATGTTTTTGCTTGTGCTACAGATGTAAAGGTTGGGGAAAAAATTGTAATATTCAAATATATACACATTCTCCCACTCCAATTTCTCCGTCCCACAGTCTATTCTGGTCTTTTGATAGTAGCAGCAGCAGTATTATACTACTAATAATACTAAATCAATAATGAAAATGTTTATTTTAAAATAATGAGGTAAATGTTTAAGATAAGGTATTTATACACTGAAACTGTTTACTCCCCAAAGTAATCTCAAAAATCTACGCTACTGGAATACTGTTCCATACAGGATTATTACAATTTACATGATATTATAAGCAAGCCAAGTTATACTGAATATATTTTACGTTTTTAAAGTAATAAAACACTTCTAACATTGTAAAGAGTGCTAAAAAGTTTTCTAATTAAAAAAACCCCAAATGGTAGAAAACTTTGACTATTCCTAGACTTTTTGAGTTAAATACTACTAGATGATATTTGTAAATATAAATGTGTGACAGACTACTCCAGGTTCTGCAAGTTCAAAGTTGTTTGGGTTGTATAGTGGAACAAGTTATAACGGAATAAATTGGTATGTCCCATTTCAAATCACAGAAAGCCTTTCAAGAAGTATAAAACAAACTCTCTTTTCTAGCCCAAGACATTGTGACATGATCTCACACAATGGCCTGGATGTCAAAAGAAAGAAGTCTACCTGAGATATTTCAACATTTCTTTGGTTATTGTGGAACTTTGGGGGCCTGGCAGACACTTTAATGCCAATGTTGTTTCTTTAATGCTTTTATTGTAGGGACCTAATGCAAGATTTTAATGAAAATAATCTCTCAGAACTGTCTACCATTTCTTGATTAGATTACAATATTAAACATCTTCTGCAGATGGAAGTTCTAATATACCACTGCTGAAGGACTACTATCAGCAGCTGAAAAATCTTAGATTTTGAGTAACTCATTCTTCAAGCCCTTTTTTGGACAGTCTTACTATTAAAAAGAAAGAAAGAAAAAAATCCTTTTCTTTATCTTACCTGTATGTGGCACCATTGAGCTCTGGATGAATTGCTTGCTGATCTATTACTGACCAAGGAGCAGTTGTGACAAAGAATTCCTTGTTCACACAGTTCCGTAGGCTTTCGGGGATGCGACCTGAAATTGGAATCATTAGAATTTTAGAAGTCTTACTGATGTTATGCAGCCAACTATACCAAACATGCTGTTTTTCCACAATGCTTTAATTGGGGGCTGAGGGAATATTCTCCTAGACTCCATTCCAATTTGGGATGGTGTTCAAAATACAGGAATATGGTGGAAGTTGCCTGAAGGTGAAACAGTATGCAACGACATGTTCAATATAATTGCCAAGGGTCCTGCTGAGTGTTTTAAAGGGTTAGATTTTAAAATTCTCCATCCCTTTGCTCTGCTGCTGTTTTATAAGCCCCTTTGGGACACACAGTTTCTACTTGCTCTCAGGCTTCACTGGAAAGAAGAGGAACTATTGGAAAGATGCTATATCATATACCTTACTAGCCAAGTCACTGGTAGGGGAATGGCAAATTCATATGCAGTGTGAAACTGGCCAACAAAATGACATTAACTGTGTGATTGATCAAAATATGATCTCCTTTCCACCCACCACAAAAATATTTGTCCTTCATTCCATGAAAGTGGAGTTAACAGAAGTAACTTGCTAGAATTACTGCTATACTGATACAGATAAAGATCAAAAAAGTCTTAGTCTAGTCCAGTGTTTTTCAAACTTGGCAACTTTAAGATGTGTGGACTTCAACTGGCTGGGGGATTCTGGGAGTTGAAGTCCACACATCTTAAAGTTGCCGAGTTTGAAAAACACTGGTCTAGTCTTAGACGCTGTTTGGAATCTATCATGCAGCCAAAAACCTGAACAGGCTGTAAATACTTGTCCTGCCCCCAGTTCTGCATGTCCCATTTGCTCTGCCCTTTGCTTTTGTCGCAACTGTACTGCACGTGTATCAGCTGGGACCCTAAGCAGCAGAGTCCTCGGTTAGGAGAAATCTGTCCTTGCTTTCAAGGGACAGTATTGTTTTCCTTCAGACTTCATCACTTAAGACAGGGAAGTTGGGGGGAGCAAACTGGGAGGTTTAAAACAAAACCCAACCAAACAAAAAACAAAACCAAAGCCGCCCCTCCCAGGGCTACAAATGCCACCTGTGCCCCTCAACCCTCCTGCATGCTCAGAGACTGATTTTTAACCCCGAACAAAAGAGTACAGCAGAAATATTCAGGCAAGCTTGTTTTCTGTTTGGGGAGGGTTTTCAGGGTCAGGCACATCTGCTTCCTATATTCAATGCAGGAAGCCCTTCGGCGAGGTAATGAACCTTGCCTATAGCAAAGGCAGTTGGGGTACCTGTGATAGCTCGGCGTATCTCTGTTGCAGCAGCTTCTCTCATCTCTAGTGACGCCTGTTCACTATACCAAGCAGTATGTGGTGTACAAATTAAATTGGGTGCATCTTTCAGGGGCCCTTGAGCAAAGCTACAAAAACATTTAAGAGACAAGGTTAAAAAAAAAGCTTTGAATTAAATGCCATCAGAGAATCCCAATTCACCACTCCTTTGCTTTCTTCCAGTCCAGAGAGCTATCCAAGACATGATGGATGTAAACCAGAATTCTTATTCCAGTTTAACCACTTCTAAAAATGGGCTGATATAAAAAATCATTTTACAATGCTTTCCAAGGATAATGAAACACAAGATTTGACAAATTCCCCAAGGAAAACGATTTCTAATTCAAGTTTTTAGGATTTGGGGCAGATTAAGATGTTATATGCAATCAGATTGGATACGACAGGGAAGCCAGATGTGTTTTATTCATACGTCTGCCCAGATACATGAAATCTAAGTGAGTTGTGCAATTTTCTTCTAACTGGCATGGAAAAAAACTATTAGAAAAGAAAGAGGGCAGGGAGGTAAGCTGCGGGGGCAGTGTTCTTGAGCCTCTCATTCAAGTAAATCTACATAGCAATGGACTATACTGTTACACTGTCATTTGCTGTTTTGGAATTCAACAGGACATAAAACCCGTTAGATATCAAAGCTAGTTTTCAAAATAATCATTGATTGTTACAGAAATGGGATTTATTAAAACAAGGAAGCAAATACCTTATTTATGTAAAACAATAGATTATTTATTGTTTCAGCTGCAGGCCATAATCTATTTAGAACAGGTAAACGAATGTTTCACCAAAATGCAACTACAGAGGGAGAGTGGGTGGGTGGGCGGGGGGTAGATGAGAAAACATGTGTCATGACATCCTGATGCAAGTGCCACCCCTTACGTGCATGCATTTAATGTCACAATGCAAGTACAAAAGGGATGGAGTTGCTGTCATGATGTTGCAACACACATTTTGTCATTTAGATCAGGGTCCTTAACCTGAGATGGACAGATTTCAGGGGGATCTGTGAATTTGGATGGGAAAAAAAGCCGACAACTTAATTTTCACTAACCTCTAACTGAAATTTAGCTTTTGATTCAGCAATGTATACACATATTTGGGTGACTATATTTGAGCATCACTGGTTTCTGCTGTGATATGATCTATATCTATGTATTTTATTTTATACATTTAAATACATTTTTTTGAGAAGGGGTCCCTACATTTCACCAGACTCTCAAAGGAGTCCATGGCCCAAGAAGGTGGAGAACCCCTGATTTAGATGAAAGTTCTGTTTGCAGCAGATGACTTCATCTTGGTTTACAGAACATAGAGATTTCCTCTATGTGGCCTTCTTCCCGAACACAATAAAATACACAACTTTACCTCTGCAATTCAGAATAATAGCAATTTGTACGAAGACTGTAATGTTTAATGTGTTGCAGTATACTTAATCATAATCAAAATACCAGTGGAAAATCATTGGCTATTTATTCCCATTTCAGAAGCAAGACAAGAAAGCAGGGCTTCAACTAGGTCATCTTGGGAGTTCATAGAAAAAGCAGAATTTAACATGTGGACTGCCTTCCTGCAAACCACAGAAAATAAGGAAGTTTGCATTCTGCTTTCCCTGCTATTCTCTTCTTGGCTACAGGCTAGTGGGTCCATGGGAGGAGTCAAAACAGGCAAAATAGTGCATGCAACATTGCAATCCAAGCCCTGCCTCATTGTCCATGCATGTCAATGCAGATACAATAGTGGCAGGTCTTGGATTACTATGCCGTGCCTGCCACTTTGCCCATTTTGAACCTCCGATCACTGGCAGATATATTTTGAATTATTTAGTCAATACTCATACATGGTCTCACACAGGAGAACTAGTTTTTACAAGTGTGGCTGGTTGAGGCAGCCTGCTTGGTAAAATTAAAAAGGAGGGGCATCTTTAAGTGCTGCAGAGGTGGCAGTGGAATTGAAATCCACCTTTCTCATGCATTTCATTCATTCATTCATTCATTCATTCATTCATTCATTCATTCATTCATTCATTCATTCAATGTAATGGCTGCTCATCTACCAAGAGAAATGTGTGTGTCTGCTACTTGAAAAGCTGACATCAGCAGGGAC